GGATGAAGCAACAAAGTATCAGATACTTGACAAAAGAGTGAAGAATTTCTGCTGAAGATACTTTGCAGATGATATTGCTCTACTAGCAGAGTCGTGGGAGAAGCTACAGCAACTTACTACCAGGCTAGAAAGATTTGCACTTAAGATCGGTCTTTGAATCGACATCAAAATGACCCATGTGATGCAAATGAGTGGGGAAGATGAAGATCTACGGATGCCAGTCACCACTGACAACCAGTCGCTCACTGATATAGACCAGTTCACAAACTTGGGCAGTATGATCACACAAGATTAATTTAATTAATTCATTAAATATTAATTTAAACAATTATCATCAATAAATTATTATATAAATTAAATAAATTAGGGGTGTGCAATATTGACAAAAAAATATCTAGATACATTTCTGGGATTTTATCGATAACGATAATTAGACGATATGTTGCCGAGTGTGTTATTGTGCACAAAATTAATATTTTCCAATAAGTTTTATGGCCATTTTTACCTTTAAGCCATTTTTTCTAAAAGTGTGCACCATCTTTTGAGTCAAATTCTTGCATTTGGGCTGTTACCAAGCAAATGAAATCAGTATCAACAAAATGTATCTTTGCAATGTAGAGGAAACACAGAAGCTGAAGTGGCATTTACGAACTGCACTGGCTACCTATTAAACATCGTATAGATTTTAAAATATTGCTTATTACTTATAAAGCCCTGAATGATTTAGCACCTCAGTATTTGAACGAGCTCTTGTTACATTATAGTCCTCCACGTCCGCTGCATTCTCAAAACTCTAGCAATTTGATAATACCTAGAATATCAAAATCAACTGCGGGCAGAAGATCCTTTTCCTGTTTAGCGCCCAAACTCTGGAATAACCAACCTAACATTGTTCGGGAGGCAGATACATGCTGTCAGTTTAAATCTAGATTAAAGACCCATCTCTTTAACCTGGCTTACACATAACACGCTAACACATTTCTAATATTCAAATCCGTTAAAGGATTTTTAGGCTGAGTTAATTTGGTCAACCGGAACCGGGAACACTTTCCATAGCACCCGATGTACTTGCTACATCGCTAGAAGAATGGCATCTACGCTAATATTAGTCTGTTTCTCTCTTATTCCGAGGTCACCGTAGCCACCAGATCCAGTCTGTGTCCAGATCAGATGGTCCCTGCAGTCACCCGGATCCAGTACGTATTCAGACCAGATGGTGGA